ATGCCTTCTACGTGCATATCTTCTCATTTATCCTTCCCAACAGCCTTGAAAGGAAATCATATATTATTCTCCATATATTATTTATGAGGAAGTGGAAGCTACGAGCATTTGTTACTGACTTAGATCTACCCAGTAGTAACATTTCTGATGAGATATCCATTGTTGGGCAAAACCTATTTCAGGCCAAACACTTGAAGATACATGGAGTGAGTAGCAATCAGGGTCTTGTTGTTTGTACAGCATTTTAAAATTCTCCAAGTCCATACATGTCCCCCATTTGACCTCCATCACGCCTGTCTGTGGCAGGCAGAACATGTATTTATTTACCCTGATTAACAGATATGACCATTTTAAAGTCAGCCATCCATGGCTGAAGCAGAATTAGAACCTAGGTCACCCAACCACGTCTTGGGCTGTGATCAACATAGAGCACTTAATGTGTGCATTCTAAATCGAGCAGCAGTCTAGTCAATTTGGAAAATTTATCCTTAGGACATCAAAAAAGATGTAGTGAGTATCTGACAGAAGCAAGAACCTGACTTGGCCAACCTGCCCTGGTGTTGCCTCTAACTTCTCATGTTTAACTAAACCCCAAATGTGTAAAAGTTTGATTGACTAAATGCTGCTCTTTTGCTGAGGCTCCTGATTCCTGTGAGAGAACCTCAGCCAGGTGAAGTCAGTAGAACTGGTGCTGGGAGTCACACCAGGAACTCAGTGATACACCTGCTAGGAGCCAAGAGCTTTCTCAGGGGAGTTGCCACAGGTTTCAATGGCATGACAATTATAAGGTAGATGGGTCATGTCATGCCTGCAGTGACCTCTACAATACTTAAGGATCATTATTTTGATGTTAATTTGCATAATGGGTGGCCTAGCAAGAACAATGGTGAATGCTAATAGCTGCAGGATGCAATAAAATTAAACATTATCTAGGCTGAACTGCTAAAGGAAAAGTTGCCAAAGTATGACTCTTTAAGCACTTAATTTCATCCCAGGTCATATCCACACACAATCAAATGTGGACTTCCAATATCTCTTGAAAAACTGGCAAGAAATGTCTAAAATGAAATAGTGGCAACCTCCTTTACAGAGAATCCTTACTTGGTAGGCTTTATATTTTCACATAACCTGCCTATCCCCTCTGAGATGCCTGAGTTTGCAACTACCACTGCCTTATTCCCAAAGAACTCTCTATCCCTACCCTTGCTCCAGCTCACAAGTGCTGGCAGATTTACCAGAAACCAGCAAGAATGAATCTCACCCTCTAGATTGAAACATTTCAAATGAATCTTTGGAAAAGACAGAACCAACCATGACTAGCAGTAAGGGATGTTTTCAAAGCAAACAGACACTGTCACTCGAAAAACTTAAATAATCCTGCATTCTGAGTTGCAGGTATAAATTAGAGATTAGCCAAGAGAATAAAAAGAACTAGGGGCAGGTGTTTGGCGTAGTGGTTAGGTCACCACTTGGAATTCCAGCATTCCATGTCCATGCCTTGGTCCAAGTTCCAGCTCCCCTTCCAATTCCAGTGTCCTGCTAATGCCCACTCTGGGAGGTAGCAGGACAGCTCAGGTAGTTGGACCCCTGCCATCCATGTGGGAGACCTGGGTTGGTTTCTTCAGTCCTGGCTTCAGCCTGGCGTAGTCCTGGCTGTTGTAGGCATTTGGGGAGTGAACCAGCAGATGGAAGATCTCTCAGTTCTGCATCTCTCTGTCTCTGCCAATCAAGTAAACAACAACTGAAAGTAACCTCTATCTAAAGTTAGAACTTCTGACAATTGCTTTTGCCTGGCAAATGAGAAGGTACAGTCACCCTGAATTTTGCACCCCAAATCCATCTTTCAAGACCATTTTCTTTATTTGTCGACTTCTTTCTCCCAAGCGTCTGGACCCATTTCCACCACAAGAGGGCAGCCATCTCTTAAAAACAGCAAGATAGGAGCGCCTAGCTCTTCAAAGAGAAATAGGGCCAAAATTTAGAGAAGCCTGCGCTTGGGGAATCACACAATCTACATAAAAGAGATCCTGTGATGGACAACACTGAAATGGAATACAGTGTCCAGGAATGCCAGTTTTCTTAACTCAAGAGTCTTCACTATCGAAGATCATTTATTACAGTGCCAAGGTCCCCATTTCCCAAGTTGGGAAGGCCAGAACCTGTGAGGCAGCCTTGGTATCACTCCCAGAGGTTTATTTTTCACCTTTTCTTGGGGCACATCCAACAGCCATCAGCTTTCTCCTCCTCTTTGAGCACTACCTACTAACTTAACTCTCAAGTAGGTTTTGTTTTGCTTTGTTTTTTGAAACTCACTGATGACAGAAATAATTACTAACTTCGCAAATTTGATAGGGAAGGAAATCATTGTAGAAGCACAATAAACACGTTTTGGCTTCAATGTCTGTCCGTGGAATATGTTTGCTGCTCACTTATTTGGTGTTCCATGATTCAGAGTGACAGTCAACCTCCATAGCATTTTTTTCAGATGGTCATAAAGTACCCCAGTTCCTGAATATTTTGCTCCCCCACTTCATTTTCCTAGCAGGCAAGCTTCCTCCAAAATACCTTATTTGACCTTTATACCTTTAGAAACAGCCAGTGCCTAATTCCCCTCTGTGGGTTGCTAATCCGATTTATGTGAGCGGAACCTAGAATTATTTTAGTTCCCTGAACGGGGAAAAAAAAAAATACACGTGGACCATAGACGCTGAGTAGCTCCCGCTCTGACCCCTCTCTGTGCTTTGCAGATCCTGAAGCTCTGGTGCAGGAGAACCTGATCTGGCAATTCGGCCTTTTCCAAAAATTTTCCACCCGTGGCTTTTGGAATCATTTGGGCAACCCGGTGGTGCTGTGCGTGGAGGCTCCGGAAATCCTGGGACGCATGGAAAGAAATCTCCGGAAAGTTACGGTGCGGCAGCTTGGGGCGGTGGGGAGCTATTCCAGCTGAGGGAGACAAGTGCCTTGGCCACAAGTCTGAGCTCTGTCTCTGGGGACCCGCTGGGGGATAGGAGGTTCTGAGGTCCCAAACCAGAATTGCCTCATACGCTTGGATCTCGCCCTGCGTTGTTTTACCTGCCCCTGGGCTGAGCGAGATTCACTTCCCAGGGGAAGAAGTGACGGCTTCCATAAAACGAAATAAAATCCTAGCCACCCTCCCCTCGCGCTGCCACACACACACACACACACACACACGTGTCGTGTATAGGAAGAGACGGCCAAGTCACACCCGCAGACCCGGGTTTAAAGGGACGTGTGACTTGGTTGGAAGCACACGCGTGTATTAGGTATGTTTTCATGAACACACATGCGCGCACACGCGTTTGAGTGCAAATGCATACCCAAATTTATGTAACTGTAAATGCGCACACATGGATTTCCATCTGCAGCTACATAGATGTCTCTGTGTTAAATATCGGCCAGTTTCCAGCTTCCCCTCGCCGGGGAAATACAGAAGCGTCTACCACATCACGTCTGCACCAAGATGCTCTGTAACTTCCCTGAGCTCTTTTCTGAAAAACTTCAAACTGAAACCTGAATAACGGGCCCGGTGGAGACACCGAGGCCAGAACCTGCCGTCGCCCCGCATCTCAGCCCCGGAGAACACGCGAGGGTCGGGTACAAGGGTGACATCTCCGGCCCTAGGGCAGGGGGGTGGAAGCGCCAGCGCCCCCCTCGGCGGCCGCGCGCCCCCGCCCTTGGCCCCACCCCGCTGCGGCTGCCCCCGGCGCGCCGTCCACACCCCTGAGCGCCGCTCCCGCCCGCTCGGGGATCCCCGGCGAGCAGTGCCGCCGAGGGGGAGGTGTTCGGCCGGGGCCGGGAGGGAGCCAGCAGGCGGCGTCCCCTTTAAAAGCCGCGAGCGCCGCGCCACGGCGCCGCCGCCGCCGCCGTCGCCGCCGGAGTCCTCGCCCCGCCGCGCTGCGCCCGGCTCGCGCTGCGCCCGCCGCTCCGGTTCCCACACCCCGCCGGGGATTGGCAGCCGCCGCCGGACATCAGCCGCCGCCGGCGACCCGAGCGCCCTCGAGGCGAGCGCCGCGCGGATTACTGGGCGCTGCGAGGCACCCGCGCACCGCAGACCCCTCGCGGGTTGGAGCACCCGGCCGTTGCGCGCCACAGCTCGGTGGCCTCGGCTGCCCGGGCCGCGCCGGAGCCGCGGACGGGCGCGCGGAGCGCCGGAGAGTGCGGAGCCAAGCCCGAGCGCCGCGATGCCGAGCACCTCCTGCCGGGGATCGGGGGCTCGAGACGTGCCAGCCGAGGTGTGATCGGACCCCAAGCCGGCCACAAAGGGCACTTGGCCCGAGGGCTAGGACAGCAGCGAGGGCAGAGCGCGGCCACCCGCTTCGGCGGCCCGGGACTCGGCTGGGCTCGCGGAGAATGCGCCCGAGGACGACGGGGCGCCGGAGCCGCGGCTGTTTCCACTGGCCAGCGCTGATGGGGGTGCGCTGGCGGCAGGCAGAGTGATGCGGGGGGGCAGCTCGCCGGGCATCGAGATCGCCGCTGTGCCCTTCCCCGGACCCGGCGTCGCCCAGGATGGCTGCCCCGAGCCATGGGCCGCGGCGGAGCTAGCGCTGAGCGCCCGACCCTCGCCCCCCGGAGTCCCGCAGGCGGCCCCGCGCGCGGCCACGCGTCCCGCGGGCGCTGGTGCCTGAGGACGACGACAGCAGCAGCCTTTCCTCTCTGCCTTCCCTTCCCTTCCCCGGCCCGCACTCCTCCCCCTGCTCGCTGTTGTTGTGTGTCAGCACTTGGCTGGAGACTTCTTGAACTTGCAGCCTTAACTTGCGCTGCTCCCCGCTTCGCGCCGGTGCCCGCGCCCCGGCGGAGCCGCCTCGCTGCCTCCGAGCCCCGCCGCGCTGCAGCCCTCTGCCGGGCCGAGCCCGGGACGCCGCGCCCTGCGCGAGGAGAGGGACTCGGCGGCCGGCGCCGGGAGGAGAAGCCGGAGGCCACGGGAAGGGAGCGGACGCCCGGTCCCCGCGCCAGGTCCCTGGGCCAGAGCTTTTTCCATGTGGAGGCTCTTTCAATGGACGTGTCCCCGCGGGCTTCTTAGACGGACTGCGGTCTCCTAAAGGTACGGGACGCGCGGGCCCCGGGGTGCGGGGCGGGCGCTGGGCTCGCGCGGCGGCGGCGGCGGCGGCGGACCCCCCTCCGGGGCGCGGCCGGGCAGGACGTAAACAGACCCCTCTCCGGGGCCACGTGCAGCCCAGCCCGGCGGGGGCGCCCCCTTTCCCCGCGCCCGCACGCTTCCGCCCCTCCTCCGCTCTTCCTCGATATATTATTAAGGCTGTTAACACTTAGATGATTTTTTTAAAAAATTAAAAAGTCAAAGAGCTGCCTTGGAGAGGATGGCCCCTGGGTTTCACCCGTTAGCTGCCAACCTGTACGCCGTGGCACGGCGCTGTCTTCATCAAGATTCTGGGGGAGACCCGCGCTCTCCATCAGAGCCCCGTCCCCCGTAGGAAAGCGCTGGGCGTTAGGGGTTCTCTCCGCCGGTTGCTAGAAGCGCTAGAGGGCCAGGGTCCCGCTCGCGCCGTGGGTTTCCCCGCTGGCACGTGCGCGCGTGGAGATCGGCCCTTTATGTAACGCCGGGAAGGTACCTGCGTACGCGACCGCACCGGGGGCTCGCGGGCGGGCGTGGAGCGGGGCGTCCCGACACCCAGCGGGCAGCCACCGCCAAGCGGCTTCAGAAGTCGTGGTCCTGAGTTTGCAGGGTCTGGAAGTGGTGAACTGTGGCTCAGGAAGTTCCGTGCCCCGGTTCTCAGGAAGTCACATGCGCGCGCGTTTATAGGCAAGGGAGCGCTCTGAGTTTGGCTAGGCGCGGCAGGGTGTCAGATCAAGCGGTGATCCCCCAGACTCCCTGCATGGCTGCCAGCTCTGGTGTGTGTGTGTGTGTGTGTGTGTGTGTGTGTGTGTGTGTGTGTGTGTGTGTGTATGGGAGGGGGGAGTGACAACCACTTAAGTTCAGTGGGGAGGGAGCGAGGGATAAGGCCAACCCCCAAATCAAGTATCAGACGGGCCCAGGCTGGGGTGGGAGAGAGAAAAGTGCTCTGGGTCAGGAACTTGGGGCCCTCCATTCCCCCACCCCACCCCAAACGTTAGAGCTGTGGCCGCTCTGACATAGCCAGCAAGTGCTGCAAGGCAGGAGGGCGCCCTGGAGGAGGAGGCGAGCGAGCGCAGCGGGAGCCCAGGCCGCGGGGGCGGGAAGGGAGAGGACTGGGCGGGGAACTCGGGTGACTCACGTCGGCCCTGTCCGCAGGTCGACCATGGTGGCCGGGACCCGCTGTCTTCTAGCGTTGCTGCTTCCCCAGGTCCTCCTGGGCGGCGCGGCCGGCCTCATCCCCGAGCTGGGCCGCAGGAAGTTCGCGGCGTCATCGGGCCGCCCCTCGCCCCAGCCCTCGGACGACATCCTGAGCGAGTTCGAGTTGCGGTTGCTCAGCATGTTCGGTCTGAAGCAGAGACCCACCCCTAGCAGGGACGCCGTGGTGCCCCCCTACATGCTGGACTTGTACCGCCGGCACTCCGGCCAGCCTGGCGCGCCCGCCCCGGACCACCGGCTGGAGAGGGCAGCCAGCCGCGCCAACACGGTGCGCAGCTTCCACCACGAAGGTAAGGCGAGGCTCGCGCCGCAGGGGCAGAGACGCGGGCGGGTTGCTACCCGCAACGCCGAGCACCAAGGCCGGCTGCGGGCATCCCTGGAGAGGCAGTTCAGCCAGAGCTCTGCGGATGCTGTCCCTCTTGCTTCCGTACCGACCTTTCTGAATCTGATTTTCAGGCACTGCTCGTGTGGCGGGCCAGCCAGGGATTCCCCCTTGGTCGGTCCGTACCCGTTTCCTGGCACGCAGCCAGGAGGGCGACTCCTCCTCCAGGAACCAGAGCGGAATCAAGGGATGGGGAAGACGAGGCTAAAAGGCATGCCCCTGGTCAGCTAAGCGTGCAGGAATTCCGCAGTGGGAGAAGGAGGAGGTTTGGGATTTCTTGAAGTCTGTTTGGAAGCCCTTGCTCCATAAATCTGTGTCTCCAGCTTAAGCCAGGGTTTCAAGCTAGACTGAGGCAAGGGCGGAATTCTCAGATAGTCTTGAAAAATCAAAGCCCAGGGCCCCCAAGTCTTCCTAATTTACAGTGGATCTGGGCCTGCGTTGGAAGATTTCGAATCCCTATCTAATCCCCGTGGGAGATCAATTCCACAATCAATCTTATTGTTTCCACAATGACTTTCTTGTCTCGTGCTTAAATCTGAGATAGGCTCAGAGTAGAGACAAAGCAAGCCTTCAGATAAAACCTTTTGCAGCAGCTGCCTGTCTTCCTTCACATGCATTGAAATGTGATTTTTTTTTTCTTTTATGATCCTGGATGTGGTTTTCCTAAGGTAGGATATTTCTGCTGGTTTCATCAGGAAGGCATTTAGTGGATTTGAAATGTCTTAGGGCAGCTATGGAGCTCTGTTGCACCTAACTTCTTAGCACCGTTAGTCAACTACATGCTACATTTCCATTCTTTTGTTCTTTTAAATGTGCCTTTGGCTTAATAGCTCTAAATACAGAATGCATTCCTGCGAATTCTAGAAAAGAGTGGAGTTACAGATCACAGAACAGCCACTTGCACTGACTGATGTTCCCTTTTCCTTGACGAAAACAATTTTCTCTCAGTGGGACGTTTTCAAGAACGATGGGTGATAATGAGAAGAAGTCCCAAAGGCAGGTCCCATCACACAAGCTACTTCTCATCCCAGCTGTCACAGTGAAGGGAGCTGGGAGCTGGTAGCACGTGTTCCAGCACATTTTGAAGTAAAGTGTTTTCTGAAGATCTGAGGATCAACATCTTTTTCTATCTGTTGAGAATTCAGCCACTGACAGCAGAAGTTTGTTGTTACAGGAGAAAGGTTTTCCTTCCTGTGTCTTCTGTCATGGTAACCATGAGATGACTACAGGTTCATCGCTTCCAGTTGACACAGATTAGAATAGTATTTCTGGATAAAAAGGGAATAGGAGTTAGCTGGATAGGTCTCCTCTTAACGTTCATTTTTAAGGCTAGGAAGGTATGGTGTCTTTCTCATAACTTTGAGAGGAAGATTATTTAAAAATCAAAAGCACCTGAGACTTTGACATGTGTAACTGTTTCAGCAATGAAGTGTGCCTGTGTCTTTTTCTAGAAATGGCTTGATCAAGACCTAAGCAGGCTACCCAGAATATAGTAAGTTATTTTTGGCCTTAACAGCCGGGGCTGGGTTGATCCGAAGCCAAGAGCCAGGAGCTTCTTCTGGGTCTCCCACATGTGTGCAGGGGCCCCAGGACTTGAGCCATCCTCCACTGCTTTTCCAGGCACACCAGTGAGGAGTTAGATTGGAATTGGAGCAGCTGGGACTCGAACCGGCACCCATATCACATGCTGGTGCTGCAGGCTGGGGCTTTAATCTGCTGCACCACAGCACCGGTGCTAACTGCTTGTGTTTTTAATGAATTTATGTGTTTCAAAGTGTCAATGCTATGTGCAGGCAATATAGGAGTTACCAGCTTGCTTACCAGCAACTTGCAGTAACTCCAGATCTTAATCAAATAGATGATAGAGAAAAGCTATGTAATTTTTGCCCCTGATGTCAACAAATCTGTTTCTTTTCTCATTATGACTCTCATCGGTCTCTCATTAGGCCAGATGAAGCACATTTTGAGGACTGTTCATTGTTGTGTAACCCAGCACTTGGTTTTTTTAAGCATCCTTGTGCCATGCATGGGACTAAAAATTTTTTAGTAAACCATGTGATGAAGGCTGCTGGCTCAAGAGCAGAATGTAGTCTAAGAAGCATTCATGGACATTTATTTGGTAAAGGACCCAAAGACATGCCTGTAGGAATTAACCTGGTGTGTGTGTGTGTGTGTGTGTGTGTGTGTGTAGGGGGATTGGATGGATTGATGTAATCACAAGGTAAGCAATGTCATGATGAAGTTCTTTCAGTCAATCAATGAGTATGATGGGACCTCACAATAAGGTGCTTCAGAACAAAATTATCACTTGTCATTTTTCCTCTTGTAGTTGGTCTGATCTTTTCTACAACAACTTTTATCCTGGAGAGAAGAGGCTTTGCTAAAATTCTGTTTTTTTTTCTTTTCAAAGTCATTAAAACACACACATCCACCACATAGCCCTTTCAGAACTGCCATTGAGGGTAGAAAAATTAGTTCTTCAACTGGAAAGCGTGTGTTATTTCTCTGCTGCTGTTGGCAACACTTTGAAATTAGTTGACTGTTCCTACAGCAAAAGTCTTCATGCTTTGCAGTCAGGCTGGGATATGAGGGTGGCCGGTCCATAAGCTGATTCTCCAGACATGGCCTGAACTGACTGAATTATTGGCCTCTATGTCTAAAACTTTCAAGTAGAGATGAGCTCTGTTACCATAAATATGTGTTATAATATCCATATAATAGTAAGCATCAAGAAACAATCTTTTCCTTGTGAAGAAAAAGATATATCAACAATCCCAGTACAGATTTGAATATATAGTCACCCCCTAGGTCACCCCCAAGCCCTGGTACTCGCCTGCTGGGCATCCTTGGTGTCCCTGGGTACTTCAGTGTGATTGCTTGTTGAGGGCAAGGCTCTGGAGCTCGGTGCTAGCCCTGTTGTTTTCTTTTCCACCTCTTTTTCTAGTGGTTCCTGTATACTCTCATATTGTCATATTGAGCTGTTTTGTGTTTTTTGTTTTTTGTTTTTTTTTTTTTTTTTAAAGCTGTCCTTTATATGGTCCAAGAAGTAGTCAGATGATAATAAGAGGGCACCAGAGCATTCCTGAAGAGCTGGAGCTAAGTGACCAGGCTCTCTCTCTCTCTTTAGTTGCCATTTCCTCTGTGGTCTTTTAAAAATATTTTTCTTTTAAGTATTTCCTATTTTGTCTCTTGTAACTGCATCAGTTCTCTAACCATGATTCTTATCTTCTGGAAAATCTTGTGTATCAGTCCCTATCATTTTGTTTTAGAGCCATAATTTCCAGTGCTACTCATTGGCCAAGTAAACTAGATTCTGTTGATTTAATGGGATTTTTTTTTCATTGTCTGCAGAGTCAAGCAGAATTCTCAGAGCACAGTAATGCTTTATCTTTTTTTTTTTTTTAATGAAATTTAGTGTACTTGGGGACAAAAAGACAGCCACAGAAAATAGTGGTCCCACAGCCCAGAGGGCTTGTCCACTTGCCTTGCTGCTCCTTTAGTTCTGCCTGCTGTCTCCACCTACCTGGGAGGTGGTACCTTTCTCTCCCTTCATTTAGGACAGAACTCCCCTCACGGCTGTCATGCCATTCAACATCCCTGTGCCCCTAGTGGTTTTGACTCCTCCCCCCGTTAGATGTTGCCATCTGTTGGCTAAAAAAGTGAATCACCGCAGTAGGCTCAAGTTCGCAGCTCTGCTTAGCAAAGTTGCTTTGACGTTGCTTAGTGCCAACTGTTTTATTTACAAAATGGAGATAATCGTAGTTTCTCTCTAATCAGTTTGTTGTGAGATAATTAATATAAAGCCATTGGTGCCAGACCAGGCATGAGGAAAGCACTTTGCACATTAGCTATCATTATTGTGATGACTTCTTTTTATTAATATCATGTTTTCTCCTTTCTCTATGGAAGAGGAGCCAGTATGGACCCGAGTAGGCTGAGCAGCTTCAGCCCAGTCTTATTTTGAGGTAGATGAAGAAATGACATCGTGCAGATATATGAATGAGAACCTCGCTTTTGAAGGAGGGGTTTGAATGTCCTTGTTGCCTTATTTTTCTGCATTTCACCCTATTTTTTCAGTCAGAGCTCCATGCATTTGGTTAAGAACCTAGAGACTCACTCACTCACGTGGCAGATAAGTCAGAAAGCTCAACTCCCTTAGCAAGTTTGCTTCTTGGGGTATTTAGAGAGAATTAACAATGGTATGAGCCTTCAAGAAAGCATACGTTACCTGTTTGGGTAAATGCACTATATGGGTATTTTCAGAATTGCTGAGCTTGCTGGAGAAGGCGTTTTGCTTTACTTTATTTCAAATAGAGTTTGAATTTTGCACCCTCAAGAAAAGGTGATACTCCTCCTTTGGAGGAGGACCGGGATGAAGTGGTATGTGGGCTAACCTGGGACAGTGGTTTTCCTGGGTGGGAGGTTTATAGGAACCTTAGACTTACCCTTCTGACCTGACCTTGCAGTCATGGGTGCTGAAATGGGCACATTTGTGTTAGGGTGGGCTGGGGTCTTTGGGCAATAGGTTAACTGAAGCTCAGTTTACAAGTTGGAGAAAGGTTTTCATGTTACCTGTTTGATTTAATAATGCAAAATTTCTCCTTTGTTAAGGCAGCTTACTTCCAGTGAGATTTTGAACCACATGGAATTATTGTTCTCTGTGTTTCTGGTGTAATAGTGGCAATTTTATTTGACTCAGTCTTATCTTTATTTTTTGAAGGGCCACTGTCTTATTTTATGCCTCTATTATACAAATGTCTTTCTGACTTTATTTACCTGTCTTTCATACTTCCCTGGGATATTGTCAGCTTCATTTTTATCCTCTGGCTATTTGTGTGTGAGGTGTGTGTATGTGGTGTGTATGGTGTATATGTTGTGTGTGTGATGTGTGTGTGTAGTGTGTGTGGTATCTGTGTATATGGTGTGTATGCATGTGGCTTATGTCAATCTGGTGCTGTGTGTATGTGGTGTGTGTGGTGTGTGTATGTGATGTGTGTGTGGCATGTGTCAATACATATGGGTATGTGGTATGTATGTGGTGTATGTTGTGTGTGTTGTGTGTGGTGTGTGTATGATGTATGTGATGTGTGTGGTGTGTGTATGTGATGTATGTGGTATGTGTGATGTGTATGGTGTCTGTGTTGTGTGTGATATGTGTGGTGTGTGTATGATATATGTGGTATGTGTGGTGTGTGTGATGTATGTGGTATGTGTGGTGTGTATGGTGTGTTTGTGTGGTGTGTCTGTTGTGTGTGATGTGTGTGGTGTGTGTATGATGTGTGTGGTGTGTGTATATGATGTATGTGGTATGTGTGATGTGTATGGTGTGTGTGTATGTGATATATGTGTTGTGTGCATGCTGTGTGCATTGTGTGTATGTGGTGTGTGTGATGTGTGTGATGTGTGTATGTGGTGTGTGTATGTGATATATGTGTTGTGTGTGCATTGTGTGTATGTGGTGTGTGTATGGTGTATGTGGTGTGTGTGATATAAGTGTTGTATATGTGTTGTATGTGTGTTGTGTGTGTGTTGTGGTGTGTGTGGTGTGTGTGATGTATGTGGTGTTATGTGTGTGGTGTGTGTATGGTGTATGTGGTGTGTGATGTGTGTGTTGCATTGTGCGTTTTGTGTGTTGTGTGTATTGTGTGTGTAGGTGTTGTGTGTGGTGTGTGTATATGGTGTATATGGTGTGTAAGGTGTGTGGTGTGTGTGTGGTGTGTATGGTGTATGTGGTGTGCGTGTGATGTGTGTGTTGTATGTGTATGGTTGTGTAATTTGTGTGGTGGGTGTGCATGGTGTATGTGGTGTGTGGTGTGTGTGTGTGTTGTATGCATGTGGTGTGTATGACATGTGTAGTTTGTGTGTATGTGGTGTGTGTATGTGGTGTGTGGTGTGTGTGTGATGTGTGTGGTGTGTTGATGTGTGTGGTATGTGTGTATGTGGTATGTGTGGTGTGTGGGTGTGAAGTGTGTGGTGTGTTGATGTGTGTGGTGTGTGTAGTATGTGTGTGGTGTGTATGGTGTGTGGTAGGTGTGTTTGTGGTGTGTATGTGTTATGTGTGTGGTGTGTTGATGTGTGTGGTATGTGTGTATGTGGTATGTGTGGTGTGTGGGTGTGAAGTGTGTGGTGTGTTGATGTGTGTGGTGTGTGTAGTATGTGTGTGGTGTGTATGGTGTGTGGTAGGTGTGTTTGTGGTGTGTATGTGTTATGTGTGTGGTGTGTGTGTGTGTGGTATGTGTGTATGTGGTATGTGTGTATGATGTGTGTGGTGTGTGTGGTGTGTCTGTGTGTCTGTGTGTTTAAAACTCCTTTCATTTTTAGTTGTGGATTGGGATTCAGAGCTTTTGTGGTGGTTGTGATTTCTCAGGACACTTCTGTTAATGTAGCTGTTCAGTGAATGCCCTGGGCAATTTGCCTTTCCTTGCCCTCCTTGAAAGAAGAGAGTGTTCTTGGGTGCCTCGGATCAGAGAAGGCAAGAGGTCAGGCACAGCTCTGGCTTTGGTGTCACAGGGCCTGAGGATGCTGCTGGTGCTAGCCCTTGCTGAAATAATGTCTTGAAGACAAACACTGGAAGGCACCTGAATCAGAGGGAGAAGGGGAAAAAAGCTAAGTGCAATTCCTGGTCTTTGTTGGGAGCCCCCCAGGAAGAGCCCTGGTTCCATTCATGGGAAAGTTATTTTCATGACTTTGCCTGGTCTGAAGTGCTATTAACTTAGAGAGCATTTAGAATGTGGATGGATCCTGAGAGCTGTCCCGAAGAGATCTGGACTAACAGGCCCCAGAGGACCATGGAGGGCTCATTTCTTGGCCTGATGGTCCCTGTGTTTCAGCAGAGGATCTTCAGAACACCCTTCTGTCCAAGTCCCTGCCAGTGCCATCAGCTCTTCTACTAATTTTTATGTTGTTTAGCAAAAAGATGCTGATAAATATGCTGCTCTGGCAATCCACACTTGAATGTGGACAACATCTTTAGGACTGTGATCAGTTTGCAGCATCCTTTCACCTAGGATCCTGCTAGAATGCAGACTATCAGAACTGTGGAATCAGAGCCACACTGGGAGGCTGTGGTATCCTGGTTGTGCTGTGGGAACAGTGCAGTTTTGAGCAATGCAGTAGGAAGCATTGCTCCATGATTCGGTATCCAGTGCCCCGGCTGCCCCCAGAACTCCTGCTTACCTTGTGATGACAGTGTTTCTTTGAAAGCTTTGATGGTGAAGCTTTACACAGTAGAACTTTAGAGTGAGTGATATGGCATAATGCTGTTTTGCTAAGGCATCTAGGTTCTCTGAATGACAGATAGCTGTTTGCCTTCAGCAAAAACACAGCCATGAAATGAATAAAAATATAATCTCTTTTATGGTGAAGACATGGGACTGTGACAAAGTTGAATTTTTTTTGTGTTGTTGTTAACACTTCATTCTAACTGAAGTAGGTAAATGTTTTGACAGTGAAAATACCAGATGTGATAACTCTGTAAGAAAGTAAGTGCAAAGATCTCAGATTCTAGTGTTGTTTCCCATTTAATGATAGTGTTGTATCTTTGATGGTTTGCAGATTGTAAGGATTTTAAAGTGCTATCTCATATTTTATCATTTGCTTGGAAAGCAGTACTTCTTAAAATTGCATTCAGGAATCTGAAACCAGAGAAAGCTTTCATGCATGGCCCACTTAAATGGCTATTTTCAAATAACGATGATGAAGACAGACATGGAAGGATTATTCTGTAATAGGATGAGATTGTTCTTTATATCATGAGGATCACAATGGTATTTTTGTAAATTTTTGCAATTATTTTTTGGTTTTGTATCTTTCCTATATCCTATTAGTAGGTAGAAGTATGATTTTAATATGGTTTGATTTTTAAAACATAGAAGAATTACAGAAGACAAAGTCATTTCTTTTTCTTCCAAAGTCATCTGAAGTGAGATTTTGATTTTTGAGGTCATCAGGAGGTGAGAGAGCAACTAGCAGTTGGGAAGCCATTTTTCTTAACATTGGTTGGTCTGAATTCCTGCAGCGTCTCAGTACCACCCGTATGTTCCCAAAGAAGTAGATCCCTGCAAATGCCTTTGTCCCTGGACTTTTGAGCCAAATAGTAGGGTGTGCTTTGCAAAATGTCATCGTTGATGTTGAGTTTCAGAGTCTTTAATTAGGAAACTGAAATCTGTATATCGAGATTTGTAAATCACCTAAATTGCAGAGTAATGTTTTAGAATACCGCTTAAAGGATTGACATTAAAGCCGTTTTTTAAAAAAAGAAATGCAATAATTTCCTCAAATCCTCACTCATTAGACCTCTACTAACTATAGTGCTGACTTTTTTTTTTTTTTTTTTGCCCTGAAGTCTGTGAATTCCAAAGAAATACTTCACCATTTCCCCTACTATTATAGCCACCTGGAAGCTGTGTTCCTATATTGGATCAAAAGCATAACAATTAATTACGAAATTTTGCTTCGTTCAGTACATGAACATGTACAAAAAGAAAAAGGGAAAACTATTTTTTTTTTTTTTACTTTAAGGGTATGTTTAGATTTTCTGGTTGTGGATGTTTTATGTAGATTAAATCAATTCCTTAATGAAGTTTGAAAATTCTCATAAATAATGGGGTTGTTGTTACATTTCTAGATTGTCCTCACTTCTCTCACTGAGTGATTATTTTTTTCTTTTTCCCCCATGTTCTATGTCAATTAGAATCGTTGGAAGAACTGCCAGAAACAAGTGGGAAAACCACCCGGCGATTCTTCTTTAATTTAACTTCCATTCCCCCGGAGGAGTTTATCACCTCTGCAGAACTTCAGGTTTTTCGAGAACAGATGCAGGAAGCTTTGGGAGACGATAGCGGTTTCCATCATAGAATTAATATTTATGAAATTATAAAGCCTGCAACAGCCAACTCGAAATTCCCCGCCACCAGACTGCTGGACACCAGGTTGGTGAATCAGAACACGAGCCGGTGGGAGAGCTTCGACGTCACCCCTGCCGTGATGCGGTGGACTGCACAGGGACACGCCAACCATGGGTTTGTGGTGGAAGTGACCCACTTGGAGGAGAAGCAAGGTGTCTCCAAGAGACACGTGAGGATTAGCAGGTCTTTGCACCCAGATGAACACAGCTGGTCACAAATCAGGCCTTTGCTCGTAACTTTTGGTCACGATGGGAAGGGGCACCCCCTGCACAGAAGAGAAAAGCGTCAAGCGAAACACAAACAGCGGAAACGCCTCAAATCCAGCTGTAAGAGACACCCTTTGTACGTGGACTTCAGCGACGTGGGGTGGAACGACTGGATTGTGGCCCCTCCGGGGTATCACGCCTTTTACTGCCATGGGGAGTGCCCCTTTCCCCTGGCTGATCACCTGAACTCCACTAACCATGCCATCGTGCAGACTTTGGTCAACTCCGTGAACTCTAAGATTCCGAAGGCATGCTGTGTCCCAACAGAACTCAGTGCTATCTCCATGCTGTACCTTGATGAGAATGAAAAGGTTGTATTAAAGAACTATCAGGACATGGTTGTGGAGGGTTGTGGGTGTCGTTAGCACAGCAAAATTTAAATAAATAAATATATATATATTTTAGAAAAAAGCAAAAACAAACCAAAAAAAACACAAAAAGGATAAAAAAAATACCAGTTGACACTTTAATATTTCCCAATGAAGACTTTATTTATGGAATGGAATGAAAAAAAAACAGCTATTTTGAAAATATATTTATATCTACAAAAAGAAGTTGGGAAAACAAATATTTTAATCAGAGAATTATTCCTTAAAGATTTAAAATGTATTTAGTTGTACATTTTATATGGGTTCAACCCCAGCACATGAAGTATAATGGTCAGATTTATTTTGTATTTATTTACTATTATAACCACTTTTTAGGAAAAATAGCTAATTTGTATTTATATGTAATCAAAAGAAATATCGGGTTTGTACATAATTTTCCACAATTGTAGTTGTTTTCAGTTGTGTGTATTTAAGATGAAAAATCTACATGGAAGGTTAGTTTGGCAAAGTGCTTAGCACATTTGCTTTTTTTGCAGCGCTACTGTTAAGTTCACAAGTTCAAGTCCAGAAAAAAAAAGTGGATAATCCACTCTGCTGACTTTCAAGATTATTATATTATTCAATTCTCAGGAATGTTGCAGAGTGGTTGTCCAATCCATGAGAACTTTCGTCCTTATTAGGTGGAATATTTGGATAAGAATCAGACATTAATGATCTAATATGGAAGCCCTCCCCCCACCACCACCCCTTAATTTGCAGAAACAGTAAAGCAGGACCAATAGAAATAATTTGGAAAATGATGAACCTGCAGGAAAGTGAATGATGATTTGTTGTTCTTCTTTCCTAAACCAGGGATCCCTTCAAAGGGACTGATCTGGCCAAAGTATTCAATAAAACACGATTTCTTCATTATTGATATTGTGGTCATGTATATTGAAAATTGGTATCTGGTGGCCCTCAGCAGGAGTTGGAAATCTGTTTGTACTTTACCATTGCCTTGTTCAGGAGCTCTGTGTGTGCTCTGCAGGGCCTCATTTTCTAACGTTGCCCACCACATGGCAAAACGGTGCACGTTGTGTTTTAACTGCTCATCCCCTGTTCTCTGATATGCTTGCTTTTCTTTCCAAGGTTGTGTTCAAACACGTTTCTCTAAATGTTAAACTTATTTCAGATAATAAATATCAAAGCTCTGGCATTTCATTTCTATAAAGTCCAAGCTATAAGTGGAAATGGTGCATTTGTACAGCACTCAAAGTGATGACCTCGTGTTTGCATTTCTGTTTCTGATGGTCCTTGTTTCAGAGGGAGGTGGGGAAAAGTGAGGAGTAGTTGGGAAATCTCAAGTAAGTCATTTGATAAGTTCTGTTTGCACCAGAGGCATTACCAGTAGTTCAGTATTTTTCATAGGAACTTTTTAGGGACAGAAAGATTTAAGGGAAAACCGAAGGTTACAAAACAAGCAAAAGCTGGGTAACCCGAGATAAAGTTTCAGAGATGATATCCCATGCCACAGAGGCAACAGTGCCAAAAAATTAGAAAGGGAAAGTGTCTGAGATCAGCTTCTAGGCGCACATCTGCCAACTGGCCTGCAGCCCAAACAGAATGAAGTCAAATTAGGCTGGTCAGAGCGAACTTAGCCGTGGCAGGGCTTCTGTGCCCTGGGTTGGAAGCAGATCCGAGGAAGGTTCAGTGGCTATGTTTGTAAAACCAGGGAACCCAGAACTCCTCACTGTTTTACCAGCCGTGTTCAATTCCCAGGACTTAGCGTCCCCTCTGATGTTGCTCTGCTGCGTGAAACCTAGGTCTAACCTCCTTTCTTAGCCCCTGCCTTGAAATAGGCTTCAGAGACAGATGTGCTTTGTGGAACAGGTTGTCATCAAATTCTTCCCAGGAACTGGCTTTTGATGACCATAAACATAGTTAGATTTAGGGAGCTTTGAGCTTCTGTAGACTTTACTTTTCAATGAAGACTGTAATTAAAGTTTTACTAATACTAGTTGCCTTTTTAACATCTTTGAGCTTCTTTTTGCAACTATTTCTTTTGCTCTTGCATGGGTGAGAAGGGTGCGATTAGAGCCAGCTATGGAGGGCAAGGCTCCTCTGTGTTGAGCAGCCATTCTCCACCCTCCTGCAGGCTATATGGCATTTACCTCTTAGAAAATAATAACCCCTGCATTTTGCACTTCCAGATTCTCTCGATGAGAGTGTGAAAGGGTAGCACAAGAATGTTCTCCTTTGGTAGTTTGATTTATCTTTTCGATGGCTCTCTGGGTTCTGATTGTCTTGGACAAATTTGCTTCCAATGGTATCAGCTCAAATACACTCTCTTGTAATTATATATATCTATTTAATATATTATATATGTATAATCACTGATATGAAATTATATGCAATATATATTACCTATGAATGGATGATGGATTTTTCAGTTCAGTTTAATTTCAGGTTTTTTTTGACCATTGAGAATGCTGACTCTCCACAGCTACTTTGAGAAATGATATTCTTACAAGCATTTGCTCTTCTTATAGACCTAATAATAGCTCACAGTCGTTATGAGGAATACAGCCTCGTAACTAACCCTGTGCCATTTTTTTTGAATTTCAGCCACTATTCTGTAGGATGTTTTGAACAGTTTTAGAGGTGGACTTTGTGTGTGTGTGTGTGTGTGTATACCAACAAGTAAAAGTTTCTGAATTCCAGGGATCATCTTGACAAATTTGTCATCTGTTTCTTGTGCTTGTCTCTCCAGCAAGCATCTCCATTGCTTGGTTTTAACCTGTGTGGCACATCCAGATTGCTCTCTTCATCTTTTGCTTTCAAAATTTGGGAGAAACGGAAGGTGAGAGGCTTACTCATCTGCCTGTGCTCCCATCTTTTCATAATTTCTGCTCCAGCTGCTGCTTTAAATGGTACCTCAAGAGGTGGAGAATGGAGAGATGATGTGCAAACCTGTCGCTATAGCAAGCCACGTCATCACTAGAGAACCCAAGTCCATATTTTTCCCTTCAGATTTTCATGGGGGGGGGGTGTGGTAATCACCTATACAACCAAGAGTACATAAAGCACCTTTAGAAATAGTGTTTGTACTCTCCCGGCAGATTAGTGTCAGGTATTGATTCACTGAATGCTTCTGTGTCATAGCCTCCTGATCTGTTACGAGGCAAAAGGGACACAGCCATACAGTAGAGAATAAGTCTAGAGGAACTGGGACGTGAACTGGCAGACCATGAAAGCAAGAACGCCCTGGCGCTGTTTCTTCCCTGTTTTATTGTCTGCATGGGATGAGTAGGCTGAGATGGGGAATGAATGTGTGTGTGCTCCAGTCAGGTAAACTGCTTTTCCTCTTGGCTCCTCCCTGCTGACAGAAATTACAGCTTTGCGGTATTTTTCGGGTTAGAAGTTTCTGATCGTTTCCCTGCCTGGCAGACTTCAAAGTGAACTTCTACCTAGGGATCTCTGTGCTACATCAAACCTCTTAGATTTTAATGTGCATCTGAACTCACCAGTAATGTCTTGAAGAGTATGAACGTGTGATGTGTACACAGACGCCCCCAGAATCATGTCATAGCATAGATTCTGTTTCAGTGGGGCTGTGGTGGGGCCTGAGAGTCTGCATTCCTTCCAAGCTCCCGGGTGAAGCTCTAATGGATCTTCTCAATCGTAATTGCAGAGGCAGAACCAAATTTAGGCCCTTCTATAAGAAGCAGCACTTAAAGCAAGAAATAAAGACAAACCTGTGTGCTAGACGGCATCTGAATGCATTCTGCCGTATCTGAAATGATGCCCTACATGTTTTTTTTTTTTTTTCTCAAAGGCATTTTTTCCTCTACAAGATGACTGGCAATTTTGTGTTCTGGCCACCCTCAGACATGAAAACACTTGGTTGCTTATCTTGTAAAATCTTCTCTGCTTGCTTGCTTGGGCATGTATGAAGTCAGTTTAGTCAAATACGTGTCAGTACATCTATGTGGATGGGGGAGCAGGTGCAAGCCCTTAAAAACGTTCTTTAAAAAAGTTTAGCACTTAAGTCAGTCCACTGAGCTGATCCTGTGTGATCTTAGTGCCAAGCGTCTGAGTTAAAAGTTTTCGCTTTGAAGGCAACAAATATATGTCATACATTTGAAGCATTTGTTTATACTAAAAATGATGTTTGGTTTTTTTTTTTTTTTTTAAAGTTCTAAGGCAGTTCACTATATGCCACCACTGAGCCTAGAGGGTGGTATCAAGCTTCCAAGTCTGGAATTAATCTGGAATTTGAGGTTTGATATAATGGAAATTGGAATTTTCTCTGCCACAGTTGGCTTCGAATAAGGTCCTTAAGTGAAAGGGCTTGGGCTAAAAAGTGCAAAAGGAATTGAAAAAAGGAATCAGCAGGGAACAGTTTTCTGTTTTTGTATGGAGCTGGCACTTCAGCAAAACATCCTTACTAGGGTCTTTTGTTTCACAGCCTCTTTTTACTATTATTTAGGAGCACTTTGAAAATTTCTTATAAGCAACTGAGGTTTGAATATCTGTTGAAGAAGTACTAGAATGAATGGCTTCCTAATGTCAGGTACATGCTTTTTTCTATGGTGTGTGTGTGTGTGTGTGTGCACATAAATTATATATATATATATGAAATAGGGAAACCCAATTTATTCCTATTTGGAGACCAAATGCTAAGTGTAGAGTGCCTAGTTTTTTCTTCGAGTTCATCATTTTGTTGAATCTGTAGTTTGAGCTGAGGCACTTGTACAGTGCTCCAGGAGACACTGCCTTCACCACTGCTTGAAAGCTTGTGCTGCACGGAGCCTTGGGCCCCACTCCCAGACACCGCCAGGAGTGCATTATTCCTGCCGTCCATTCTGATGAGGTCTGTAAGCAAAGCGATTTGCTTAAAGCTCCCCTCTCAAGGAGCGGGGTCTCATCTGGTCTGCATTTACCCTGGAACTGCTTGGCCACAACACCACGAGCGAATAATTATTGAACTATTTTACTGTACAACTATTTCCAAATTGTTGATTTTTTATTGATTTCAGGAGGCAAGCTAATTGCCCCATGGCAACTTGATGTTAACGTTTAATGAAGATCAGGAAACAGAGTTTATGAAAAGCTTTTGTGTAGTAACTGCAAAGTTTCAAGAACTGTTTTATACTTCCTGACAGTACTGGGCCTAGCTTAATGGTTTGTTTTTATTGCTTAAGAGTGTAAACCTTGCTTTAGCCCAGTGTGTGGAAACTATACCCTCATCCCACATTACACACTTTCTCACTGCCTTTTACTCACTCTGGACTTCCTCCTCTGCCATCTACAGTCAGGACTTTTTCTGTTTTAATGGGCTGAAGGGAGTTTCTATCTTTGCACGCTGAAGAGTCTTACACACACACAAGCACACATGCACACGCACGCACACTTACCAAGTTAAGTGTCTGTATTGTTTCACTTTGTTTTGGGTGGAGTTTTTTTCCCTGCACTTGGTTGCTAGACGACCAAGCTGACAAAAGTTAAAGATTGAAAAGGCATTTTTAAAGATGCCAAATCTCAGTGGTTGGACTATTTTATCTCTGTCTTTATGTGAAAGGCTTACTTTTCTTACCAGGTTCCCCTGGCCTTTTGTTAGGTGCATGGCTAGTAGATTTTCTCCAGTTCTTAAGGCATTATCTGTTTGAGAACCTTCTGAGTTGTTGTTTCTCTTTGCTGGAACACGCTTCCCACCTGATTGACCAAGAAAAAAAAAACCACCACCCAGCTTAGTTTCCAAGGGTGTGTTGTAAATCACTAATAAAGCTGAACTCTGGCTCCCAGCTACTTCAGTTTTAAGGCAAAGAGGTAAAGATTGCTTTGTGAGGCAGCCATCAGCAATACGAGGTCTGGTGTGTAGAGAATAGTGTCTCCAGGAGGCTACTTCTGTGTTGCACCGTAGATAGAAT